ACAGAGACCTTGACGGGTGTGCGCGAGCAATTCTCTCCCTCCCTCCCTCTCGCAGGCCAAATTCGCGAAGTGGCACCGGGGGATGCTCGAGCACGGTGTGTATCTGGCGCCCTCCCAGTACGAGGCCGGATTCATGTCTTTGGCGCATACCGAGGCGGATGTCGACGCTACCATCGCGGCGGCGAAAGAGGTGTTCAAGACGTTGTAAAGCGGGCGTAGGGCCGCGAGGAAAGCGAGGTGAGGAGGGGGGTTGGAGGAGAGAAATGAGGCTGGGTAGGGGGAGGATGGAGGGGAAGATATCGAAAGGGCGAAAGTGAGGGAGGGAGGGGAAGAAAGCCAGGATCGAAGGCGAGAGGCGGGGACAGAAGGGTCAAATATTGGTGTAAGGGCTGTCATGATGGTACCTTAACTTTCATCCGTTGCCGAGCGCGGGAAAAGAAACACTGCACCCACATTTGAAGACATGCCAGTCTGGCTGTGTTTGGAATCTGAATTTGCCCATTATGTCATGCTTATTTGTTGTTGGATGCAAAGATTCTTTTCTCGACGAGAGCACACCATGGTTATGGGAGGGAGTCCCCGCTGCTTTTGGTGCCAGCGGCCTTGGAAAATTCCGACTTTCAGCTCGAGATTTAGAAATAAAAAGGCGTTTCAGATGATGAATGACCAAGAAGGAGAGGGAAAAAGGGACGGGCGCAGGCAGGCGTGTCTCTGCGGCCGGCGGGGAGGCATTCGGGAGGTGGCTGTCGGGGACCGACGTGTGTCCAATGCCAACGCGAATGCCCTTTCATCCCTCCCAGTGCCTCTCTGAGAAAGCAACGAGCATGGGTGGCTTGGTCGAGTGGTCTGATTGCTTTGTGGTATCATGCCTGATTTACTTTTTGCACCGAAATGAATGAGATTTCCTTGTTCAGAACGCCTCGCCGGTATCAACCCAACGCTTAGCAGGTGCCCGGGTCTGGCATCTTGAATTTCAACTCGTGCAATCGCCGCAGCAAAC